ACAGTGATTGAATGAATGATAGTCATGTGGTTTCCTTTTTTTTTTTTTTGTTATACTACCTTGGTTTAAGATAGCCAATGACATAATTTTTTTTAATTAAAGAGCCTTAATATAAACTGCAAATTCATCATTCTGTAATAACTTAATTCTGCTCAAAATGTTGCTCATACAAAAGGTTATCCATCAAAATGGTAATCAAATTGCAATGTTTGAAAAAAACAAACCCAAATACACAGTATTTATTAAAAAGTCCCTTAGACTGAATTTTTTTTGGAGTTATCCTAGGTAATCTACACATGCTGCTATGTATGATAATTTATGTAAATGTATTTGTGTGTATAGAGAGTAGGTTGGTAGACAGCAACCACCCAGGGAGGCACTACCGTCCTGCCAAGTGAGTGTAAAACAGAAGCCTGTAATTGTTTTGCATGATGGTAGCATTGTTGGTGTCTTTTTTGTCTCATAAACATGCATGATTTCAGGTACATTTTGCTACTTCTACTTACACTTAGGTCACACTATACTTGCATGCACAAGCCTATATATATATACACACACCCATCTGGGTTTTCTTTTATTTTCTTACTAGTTCTTGTTCTTGTTTATTTCCTCTTATCTCCATGGAGAACTGGAACAGAATTCTTTTTCTGTAAGCCATGCATGTCGTAAGAGGCAACTAAAATGCCGGGAGCAAGGGGCTAGTAACTCCTCCTGTATACATTACTAAAGTTAAAAAGAGCAACTTTTGTTTTTCTTTTTGGGCCACCCTGCTTTGGTGGGATACAGCCAGTTTGTTGAAAGAAGTATTTATGTGTACCTGTACCTAAATAAACTTGCTTTTTTTTTTTCAACACATCAGTCATCTCCCACTGAGGCAGTGTAACCCAAAAAAACACACTTTCACCATCATTCACACATAATCACTGCCTTTGCAGGGGCACTCAAATATGACTGTGTGTGTGTCTGTTGTTTAAACCTTCTGTTGTACAAATATCCCTCAAAATAGTCAAGTTCAAAAAGTAATGTAACTGAACCTCACAGCCTCTCTCAAAATTTGGGTTATACCTTTGTTATACCTTTGAAGAGTTTCCAGAGTTAATCTACTCTCTGAGCCCGGCTTGTCTGGTGCTTGCCTGGTCAACCAGGCTCTTGCTGCTGGAGGCCCACTGCCCCACATATCCATCAGAGCCTGGTTCATCTGGCACCTGGTGAATATACTTGTCCAGTTTCCTCCTGAAGGCTTCTACACTTGTTCCAGCCACGTTTCTGATATCTTCTGGTAAGATGTTGAATAGTATGGAACCCCTGATGTTGATACAATGTTCCCTTATTGTCCCCAATGCACCCCTGCTCCTCACTGGGTTTATTTTACACTTCCTCCCATATCTCTCACTCCAGTATGTTGTTATGGCAGTGTGCAGATTTGGGACCAGGCCCTCAAGCATTTTCCAGGTATATATTATCATGTATCTCTCTCTCCTCTGCTCCAATGAATACATGTTCAAGACTTGAAGGCATTCCAGTAGTTTAGGTGCTTTATTGGCTCAATGTGAGCCGTAAACGATCTCCATATTTGTTCCAGCTCCGATATTTCTCCTGCTTTGAATGGGGCCATATGCACTGAGCAATATTCTAAGTGAGGGAGCACTAGCGATTTGAAGAGTGTCACCATCGGCATTATTTCCCTTGTTTTGAAAGTTCTCAATACCAACCCCGTCATCTTCCTGGCTGTCATGATCTTTGTCTTGTTATGGTCTTTAAAAGAAAAGTCCGCTGACATGATTATTCCCAGGTCATTTACATGTTCTTTACATTCTATTTGGTGACTCTCTTGAGTTTTGTATGTAGTGTTCCTTTTGAGTTCTTCATTCTTTCCATATCTAAGCAGCTGGAACTTATCACCATTGAAAGTCATGTTGTTCTCCACTGCCCACTGGAAAACCCTGTTTATATCTTCCTGTACTTTTTCAGTGTCCTCTACTGTAGTGATTTTCATGCTTATTTTAGTGTCATCTGCAAATGATGAAACAAAAGTGTGCTGGGTGTTTTTATCTATGTCTGCTATGAGGATGAGAAACAGCAGAGGTGCTCGGACAGTGCCTTGGGGCAATGAGCTTTTCACCTCGCTGATGCTAGATCTTGCCCTGTTCACTGCTACTTTTTGTGTTGTGTGTGTTAGGAACCCGAAAATCCATCTGCCCACCTTCCCCATAATGTCCATGGCCTACATTTTATACGCTATCATTCTGGGTTCATCGTAGCATTCTCGACTATTACAAACCATACCACGGGTGGGGATAGAACCCACTGTCAGTCATAAAACTCCAGACTGATGCGTTAGCCACTGGGCCAGCTGGCTACAATAAGATTCATCCGACTTGGTATATTTACACACCATAGGAAGGTTAGCATAGGCACCACTGTGACCACAAATACCTATGCTAACCATCCTATGGTGTATAAATATACCTAGTTGGATGAATCTAATTGTAGCCAGCTGGCCCAGTGGCTAACATGTCGGTCTGGAGTTTTATGACTCTCTGACTACGGGTTCTACCCCACCCACGGTATTTTTTGTCTGCAATCGTGTCATTACGATTTCATGAGTCATGACAACTCTATTATGATTTCTCAATTCAGCAGGTTAAGGTATTTGACACCAGAAACTGCCACAGAAATATTCATGCCTGTGTGTGCATGTGTCTAACTCACATTCACTCACCCTCATAATCACTCTCTCTCTCTCTCTCACACACACACAGTGAAGAGGCAGGGCCAGGAGCTTGGACTCAACCCCTGCAACCTCAACTAGGTGAGTACACACACACACACACACCTAGTAGTGACAAGTGAAGAGGGGGCCCAGGAGCTATGACTTGACTCCTGCAACCACAATTAGGCAAGTACAATTATGTATGTATGTACGTATGTATACTCTCTCTCTTTCTCTCTCTCTTCCCTCTCTCTCTCTCTCTCTCCTCTCTCCTCCTCTCTCTCTCTCCTCTCTCTCCTCCTCTCTCTTTACACAGGGTTTTACAAGGCTAGTTTAAAGGTTCCTACCTTTATTTATAAATTATGAGCTGTTACCTATAATAGCTCCTTTTAAAGCCTCTCCTTGTTATGAGACATACAAAATGGGAATAGGGTGAAACTGGAGCCATCTGTGAGCTAGCAATATCATTTGATCAACTGACTTTTATTTTGTTGGATATCATTATGCTGTACAAACACGTTCCAGACTCGAGTCATCCTTGGAATAAATGATCTCAGATGAAGAGATTAGGAATGTTCTTGATAAGAGTACAGCCAGATCACAGTTGCTGTTTGCTGCCTGCCTTGATATGTACAAGCTCACTATACGCTATCTGCAGAGTGGTGTCAAGTGTAGTACCATGACTATTAATACTGGAGTTGTAAATAACAGTTACAAATGAGACCGGGGGGGGGGGGGGGGTGTTGAGGGAATCCAAGAAAGTGGAGCATACTCAAGGTGCAAGTGTAACTGTGCTTCGTACAGAATCTTGCAACTTCCACTGTCAAGCAGATACAAGATACATCTAAGGGCTGCAAGTTTCTTGGATGCTTTCTTTTTTTTTTTTAGCAAGATTTACAACGTAGTTCTTCATAGTCAGTCTGGAATCAAATTTCACTCCAAGGATATCAACTTCATCCCTATGTATAAATGTTCTCCAATTCATTCTTACCACTACTCCAGCATTATCATCATGGTACTAAAAGACTATAATAATTTGTGTTTTTTTCAGGAGCAAATGTGATCCGCCATCGCTTTCCCAGGCTGTTATAGCTGTAAGCTGATAACTGATGTAACTTCAAGCAGATAGCATTTCCTTTCGGGGATAAGTAAATACCAGAGTACAGTTGTCTGCACATGCATGGAATTCTGGGATGTGTTGAAGAAGGTCAATGAAGTAGTCATTCCATAACAATGGCCCAAGAATACTTCCCTGTGGAACACTTGCACCAACAGTGTCTTGTTGACTCTCTCATTGACTACTACTCTTAGATATCTACCTTGAATGCAGTCACTGAGAAAGCATAGTACAGAGCCAGTGACTCTAGTGCTTACAGTTTTGCCAAGAGTTTCTGGTGCTCTAATCGGTCAAGAGCACCAGCAATGTCCAGTGTTACTACACAGCTGACCTTGGATTCATTCAATGACTGGTGCCACATAGTGGAGAGGCTTAACAACAGATAAGCAGCAGAATGATCTTTTCTGAAGCCTTATTGACAGGGAATATTTGGACTTGGACTTGGACTCGGGCATGCACGCACGTATGCACACACGCACGCATGCACGCACGCACGCACGCATGCACTCACTCACTCACTGTATATGAATGAGCAGCATTAAGTATATATTTTAAATATTAAAAACATAAAAATGACAAAGATGAACAGAACTACAAACAGTTTATTATTACTGATAAATGACACCCATTTTCACTCATGAAATCTGAGAAAAGTAATGTACAGTATTTATAATATGTGAGACAAGCACCAGATTTATGTCCTGCACAACACAGTCAAATTTTGAAGTGTAGGCCACTAGCAAATACTTAGAACACATCATAATTGCAAGTCAATGAGAAAATCATAAACCAAAAATGAAGAACAAAACATTATTGAATGAGAAATAACAATACAGTAAATTTATCATATTTAAGATTGCTAATAATTTAGGGCCATACTAGTTAAGGTTGTGCATTAGGATAAATTTGCTAGTTCATCAACATGGGATCAAAGTGACATCATTAAATCTTTCATCAATATTTTTATAATGTTCATTTCATATATAATTTTCATACATAAATTTTGATTAAAATTTCTTTATTTCTGGATAACTGACTATGCTGAGAATACTGCAATGTTTGCTGCATTTTTAAGTCTCATTGCACTAATGTATTTTAAACAAGTATTAAAAACAAGATGTTGAAGATTACATTGAGCCGTCTAAAAAGCAGCAAAGCTTGATGACGAACCTTGTCAGTTTTTCCCAACATTTTAAGGGACATTTGTGCATGCTTGAGAACACAGTCGTTGCTACAGTAGATGGAGTCCGCTTTTGGAGCCTTATTGCACGACTCTACCACACACTG